ATATAGATGATTTGAGAGAAGAATAAAAGAAGCCCTCTGTGTCAAACAACAAATTAAAAAAAAACATCAAACAGAAGTAGTCTCAGTTATTTCCAGCCCATACAGTGCAGCCTTACGTCCTGATGCATCTCAGTAATCCAGGTAAAAAAGTTAAAAAGAAAAAAAAATTGTATAGGTCCTCTGGACGGGTTCTTCTCTAATGAAACGTTTCGTCTCTCCTCCAAGAGACTTCTTCAGTCTGAGAGTTTCAGGCAAAATTCAGGCTTTTAAGCTCTGCCTCCATGTGACTGATACTCACATCACATTAACACCTATTGTTAACAGGGGGTGGAGTGATACTGGCAATGGCCGCGTTGTAGGAGGGGGACAACTGAAAACGGAGGCCTCCACCTCTGTTCAATGATGGACGGTCTTTCTTCACAAAAATGGTGTCAACAATAGCCATGTGATGTGAGTATCAGTCACATGGAGGCAGAGCTTAAAAGCCTGAATTTTGCCTGAAACTCTCAGACTGAAGAAGTCTCTTGGAGGAGAGACGAAACGTTTCATTAGAGAAGAACCCGTCCAGAGGACCTATACAATTTCTTTCTTTCTGTCTGTTAGCAATATTTGGATGAAACTTGCAGAAAGTTTGAATTTGCTGTGTCCATRTACAACTCATTAACGTTTATAGTCAATCCAGGTAGATGCTTGCCACAGTTAATTAACCTTAGCTTAGAGAGAAATGGCTACACTTTGCGTGAGATTCAACACAGTGTTTTTCCAAGGTTTGACCAGATTGGATAGAACTCTAATTCCTCAACATAGAAATATATCTTCTAACACTTTTCAGGCCATAATTTTAAACTAATATCTACTGAAAGGTGTCAGGAAATATGAAGCMCTTGAAGAAAAGCCAGGATGTGAATTTCAGTGCTGTACCAGCAACATTATCCTGCTCTTACTTTGGTACAGCTTCGTACTTCCTGTTTCGGTTTGCTTACCCTGAATGTTGCACTGTAGCAGCACAGTGCTGTCACTGAGGAAACTAAGGCAGATTGTTGTAAACTGTTTGTGTGTAAATGCATGGAGACCAGAGAAAGAACGCAGGGATTGTAGAGCTTGTATGCTGTTCTTATAGCAGCACGTTTAGTGGATTAATGATAAATCACAACAACTTCATAATTGGACATTATATCTTTAAATCATATTGTAAATGTAAGTATTCTGATCTGATGGTACCAGCAGTGTATGTATTCCTATGATGTATTTTATTCTATTGGCTTTGACCACATGATTCACACTTTTATTCCATCTCAACTGGATCACTGTAACTCTCTGCAGGTTGGTTTTAATCAGGCTGGACTCTCATGACTGCAGTTAGTTCAGAACGCTGCAGCTTGTTTTTTAACACAAACTACAATATGTGCACAGATCTCCCTGGAGCTGCTTCCCTTCAGTGGCTCCCTGTTAGGTTTAGAGTTAAAAATGTTATTTTTTAATTTTTCTGCAGCATTCTGTGAATATATCCATATCCTAGAGGAAACACTGGGTTATGCTCTGATGTGGTATCTCAGGTCCATTTTGTTAACCAGACTGATGCTGACAAAACGTAAATGCAAACATTTGAGCCAACCATTTTTTGCAGTTCATGCAGTTTTTGTGGTATGCCTATTGCACAGGCAGTTATCATGATGACGATAAATTTGCAATATATTGTGCAGTACTAGTTGACAAAAGTGATCAGATCTGCAAGTGTCTCGTGTTCCAGGCTGGTCCACATCGATAAACCAGCCTCTGTGGACCAGAGACCGATCTTCAGTCATCTCATCAGTTCTTGTTTAGTCATTGTCCTGAGGTTCAATCAGGTCTTGGTTCAGGCTGCTCCACTGGGCTGATTGGGTCTTTAATTGTCCAGAGGCCCAATAGAAGTTGTTTTTTAATGTTCTATATAAAAAAATGGATTTGTTTTGGTTGTTCATCTACTGGCATGGGTAACGGCAGCATCATTATGTGATGCAGGGAAGGTTGTAAAAACTGAAGCAAGAAATATTGACGCCAAACAGGGAGAGGTCTTTCAAGAAACCTACTTCGAAAAGATATTTGAGATCCACTGATCAGACAAACGGATCAGAATGGGCTTCATTTAAATAACAGACTGAAGCCTTGCATCTGTCGATACACATCTGTCGATACACATCTGTCGATACACATCTGTCGATACACATCTGTCGATACACTTGCCTGCAGATGCATTTATACACATTTCCACCCTAAATAACAAAACATTGGATAAGAAAAACAAAATGAATCCTCATGTTCAGCTGTGGGAACTAAGGTGACTAGAAGATTATACTGTTGCTGAATTTGTTGGAAAATTATATTCATACTAAAGAATTATTTTAATGTTTGTAAATATTAAAAAAAGCTGAATACACACACACAATATATATATATATATATATA